CCCAGGGCTCACTGAGTTCTGAGTGTAATCCCCATGGCGGTCAGTGCCTGTGTAAACCTGCAGTGGTTGGGCGCCGCTGTGATCACTGTGCCCCTGGTTTCTACGGCTTTGGCCCCACAGGTTGTCAAGGTACTTGCCCGCCTTTCTTTCCTCCTTTCCTTCTCTCTCCTCCCCACTACTATTCTCCCTCCTCCCTCCGACTCTGCTTCTTCCTTCCTCTAACTCTGCATTGGACCCCATGCTCTCAGCACCAGGACACTGGAAGTTCTCTTCCATTCCCTGACTTTCCCACCCTGACCCCACCTAGATTCCCTCAAATCCCCTCCCTGGCTCAGCCTCTGCCTTGCCCCCAGCCTGCCAGTGCAGCCCCGAGGGGGCACTCAGTGGCCTATGTGAAGGGACCAGTGGGCAATGCCCCTGCCGAACTGGTGCCTTTGGGCTTCGCTGCGATCGCTGCCAGCGTGGCCAGTGGGGATTCCCTAACTGCCAGCCATGTGTCTGCAATGGGCATGCAGATGAATGCGACACCCACACAGGCACTTGCCTGGGCTGCCGTGATCACACAGGGGGTGAGCACTGTGAAAGGTGAGCCTGGAGCAGCTGGGAGTGGGTTGGTGGGTGGGAATGCTGCTCAGGGATCACATATCTCTTCCTGCCCCTCCCTGAAGGTGCATTGCTGGCTTCCACGGGGACCCACGGCTACCACATGGGGGCCAGTGCCGGCCCTGTCCCTGCCCTGAAGGCCCTGGGAGCCGGCGGCACTTTGCTACTTCTTGCCATCGGGATGGGTACTCCCAGCAGATCATGTGCCACTGTAAGGCAGGCTACACAGGTAAGTAAGGTGCAGGCATGGGATCAGGGTGGGGAAGCTGAACTGAACACTCATGCCTTTCCCAACCGTGGGCAGGGCTGCGGTGCGAAGCTTGTGCCCCTGGGCACTTTGGGGACCCATCAAGGCCAGGTGGCCAGTGCCAACCCTGTGAGTGCAGTGGGAACATTGACCCCACGGACCCTGATGCCTGTGACCCCCGCACGGGGCAATGCCTGCGCTGCTTATACCACACGGAGGGGCCACACTGTGCCCACTGCAAGCCTGGCTTCCATGGACAGGCCACCCGACAGAGCTGTCACCGTGAGTGTGGGATTGGGATGGCTGGGGCAGGGCTCTGCTGCTCAGGCTCTCCTTGATTAATGTGTTTGACTGGCACAGGCTGCACCTGCAACTTGCTGGGCACAGATCCCCAGCAGTGCCCGTCCACTGACCGGTGCCACTGTGACCCAAGCAGTGGGCAGTGCCCATGCCTCCCCAATGTCCAGGGCCCTAGCTGTGACCGCTGTGCCCCCAACTTCTGGAACCTTACCAGTGGCCATGGATGTCAGCCCTGTGCCTGCCACCCAAGCCGAGCCAGAGGCCCTACCTGCAATGAGGTATGGGATTCTCCTGTGGATCCCTGGGTGGATGGTGCCAGCTGTCTGTCTTAACTCTCAAGGGCTTAGCCTCTGATTGAGGCTCTGACCTCTGCCCTGTTCCCACTCTAGTTCACAGGGCAGTGCCACTGCCGTGCTGGCTTTGGTGGGCGAACCTGTTCTGAGTGCCAAGAGCTCCACTGGGGAGACCCTGGTTTGCAGTGCCGCGGTGAGAGCTGGCAGGGCTAGGGTAGATGGGGGACTTCTCAGGATGTCCCACTGCCACCCTAACTTCATGGTCTGCCCTTTTCTGCAGCCTGTGATTGTGACCCTCGTGGAATAGACACGCCTCAGTGTCACCGCTCCACGGGCCACTGTAGCTGCCGCCCAGGCGTGTCTGGCGTGCGCTGTGACCAGTGTGCCCGTGGCTTCTCAGGGGTCTTTCCTGCTTGCCACCCATGCCACACATGCTTCGGGGACTGGGACCGTGTGGTACAGGACTTGGCTGCCCGTACGCGGCGCCTGGAGCAGCGGGCACAGGAGCTGCAGCAGACGGGTGTGCTGGGTGCCTTTGAGAGCCGCTTCTGGCACATGCAGGAGAAGCTGGGGACTGTGCAGGGGATTGTGGGTACCCGCAACACCTCAGCTGCCTCCACTGCGCAACTTGTGGAGGCCACAGAGGAGCTACGGTGCGGATGGGCCTGAGGATATGTGGTGGGATGGGGCAGAGGCCCAGTGGCCTGAAGCTTCTCTAAACACCACTACCTACTGGCACAGGCGTGAAATTGGGGAGGCCACTGAGCACCTGACCCAGCTGGAGGCAGAACTGACTGATGTGCAGGATGAGAACTTCAATGCCAACCATGCACTGAGCAGTCTGGAGCGAGATGGGCTTGCACTTAATCTCACACTGCGGCAGCTGGACCAGCATTTGGACCTGCTCAAGCATTCAAACTTCCTGGGTGGGTTGTTGGCCAACTAGGCAGGTGGACCAGGGTTGAGTGATCTTTAGCTGACTGCCAGCCTTTGCCCAATATAGGTGCCTATGACAGCATCCGCCACGCCCACAGTCTGTCTGCAGAGGCGGAACGTCGTGCCAACACATCAGCCCTGACAGTGCCCAGTCCTGTGAGCAACTCAGCAGATACCCGGCACAGGACAGAGGTGCTAATAGGTGCCAAGAAGGAGGACTTCAACCGCAAGCACATGGCCAACCAGCAGGCACTAGGCGAGCTCTCAGCCCGTACGCAGTCCCTGAGCCTGACAGGCATCAATGAACTGGTGAGGCACAAGTGTGGGGTGGGACATGTGGGTGTGGCTGTTCCTTCCACAGGTCCCTGACTTGTTCTGTGCCTGGCAGGTGTGTGGGCCCCCAGGGGATGCACCCTGTGCAACAAGCCCTTGCGGGGGTGCTGGCTGCCTGGACGAGGATGGGCAACCCCGCTGTGGGGGCCTCAGCTGCAATGGGGCAGTAGCCATGGCGGACCTGGCACTGGGTCGGGCCCGGCACACGCAGGCAGAGCTGCAGCGGGCACTGGCAGAAGGTGGCGGCATCCTCAGCCAGGTGGCTGAGACCCGTCGGCAGGCAGGAGAGGCACAGCAGCGGGCCCAGGCAGCCCTGGACAAGGCTAATGCTTCCAGGGGACAGGTGGAGAAGGCCAACCAAGAACTTCGGGAACTTATCCAGAGTGTGAAGGACTTCCTCAGCCGTGAGCCTCCCGTGTGGCCCAGGCCATGTGGTTGTGTCACCTGTGTCTATGTTCATACTTGTGTCCCTGGGTCCATACTTGGGTCAGAGCCTGCACTGGACCTGTGCTTATGACCCCATGTCTAGCCCCTCAACCCTTGCCTATATGTGGTCCCCAAGTCCATGACCCCAAGTCTGTGCCCACTTACAGTTCCTGTCCTTGTAGTTAATCACTATGCCTAGTAGCAAACCCATATTCTGTGTGGGGTCCCTGAGTCCATACCCCAAAATTGTGTTCGATGCCAATACTGGAGAATCTGTGTCCCTAAGCCCTTGCCTGTGTCCCCATAGAGGAGGGGGCTGATCCTGATAGCATTGAGATGGTGGCCACACGAGTGCTAGAGCTCTCCATCCCAGCATCACCTGAGCAAATCCAGCACCTGGCAGGCGCAATTGCAGAGAGGGTCCAGAGCCTGGCGGATGTGGACACAATCCTGGCACGCACCGTGGGAGATGTACGTCGGGCAGAACAGCTATTGCAAGATGCACGGCGGGCAAGGTCTGACTGTGACCCTGGCCCCAATCCTTGACACCTGGTCCTGATACTTGCAGGCTCTGATTCCCTCTCTTCTTCAGGAGCCGGGCTGAGGGTGAGAAACAGAAGGCAGAAACAGTACAAGCAGCACTGGAGGAAGCCCAGAGGGCACAGGGAGCTGCTCAGGGTGCCATCCAAGGGGCGGTAGTTGACACACAGGACACTGAGCGGACACTGCATCAGGTGTGGTTTCTCTGGGACATCAGTGGGGCAAGATTATGGGCATGCACCATAGACCTGTTTAACCCTGGGTCCACCCATGACAGGTTCAGGAGAAGATGGCAGGTGCAGAGCAGGCACTGAGCTCTGCAGGCGAGCGGGCTCAGCAATTGGATGGTCTTCTGGAGGCTCTGAAATTGAAACGAGCAGGGAATAGCCTGGCAGCCTCTAGTGCGGAAGAAACAGCGGGCAGTGCCCAGGGTCGTGCCCGAGAGGCTGAGCAGGTGGGTTGAAGCAGAGCCAGCTGGTGGGGGTTGAAGTAGAGTCTGGGCCTCCACTGAGACACCCAGCTGACTTTGCCTTCTATATCCCCAGCTGCTGCAGGGCCCACTAGGCGACCAGTACCAAACAGTGAAGGCCTTGGCTGAGCGCAAGGCCCAGGGTGTGTTGGCTGCACAGGCACGGGCAGAGCAACTTCGGGATGAAGCTCGAGGCTTGTTGCAGGCTGCTCAGGACAAGCTGCAACGGCTACAAGGTGATGATTGGGGTGGGTGGGCGCCAGAGGTGTGGGACTGTGGGAGTAGGACCCTTCAGCTGAGACCTTCCCCTCCTAGAGCTGGAGGGCACCTATGAAGAGAACGAGCGGGCACTGGAAGGCAAAGCAGCCCAGCTGGATGGGCTGGAGGCCAGGATGCGTAGCGTGCTTCAAGCCATCAACTTGCAGGTTCAGATCTACAACACCTGCCAGTGACCCCTGCGCGACGCCTACTCCAGTCCCCAACCCCGCCCGTTACTGCATCTGCTTGAAACAGTTCCCAGCCCGACCAGGCCCCCAATAAACCGCTGTGATTACCCACTGTGTAGTCTGGACTCTGATTTGGGGAGGGCGGGGTCTCTGGGCGGAACCTCAGGATGGCACCAGCAGGGCCAGGGCGAGGCCAAAGCACCGGAGCCCCGCCTCCTCCGTTCGGGCCCGCCCCTGAGCTGCCCGTCGCCGCATGCCCACTCCCACCGGAAGTGCGTCACCAGCTAGGCTCTCAGCCACCCGCAGCCGTAACTAGAAGTCGAAACAAAACAAGCGGCTGAGGCGGCGGCGACGGGACGGGGGAGGGGCGCGCCGGAACCGGAACCGACCAGACGCCGGAACCGGAACCGAGAGCGGGTTGCCAGGGCCCTAAGAGGGCTGGCGGCGGCGGCCTCGCTCGGTGAGTGGGACGGGCCGCAACTCGCCTGTCTGGCAGGAGCCAGGGAGGCCGCGACGCGGGCCCCGGGCTGCCTGTTCAAGGTCATGTGCCGTGCCAGTCTCGACTCCTCGAACCCCGCGGCGTACCGGGCCCACCGATGCGGGCGGGGCCGTTACTCTACGCCCATGGTCGGCTTCCTGCCTCCAAGAGGGCTGGCGGCGAGCGAGGGTGGCTTCCTGGAGGAGGTGGTGGAGGGCGCAGGATTTGGAGGCTGGAGCTGAGTCGCAGCCCGGCCAGGGCGCTGGTCTGTAGTCTTTAACCCCGCGCAGCCGTGTAGGCCGACATGGTCTCTAGACAGACTCTTGTCTCGGTGTCGCCGCGAGAATGGGGAGGGACGGGACCTTAAGCTGGGGCCTGGTGCAAAGAGGTGGAGGGTGTCCACCCCTCGGCTCTGGATCTGTCGTCATTGAAGATCCAGCCCACCAGCCCCCCATAGAAGAACGTTCCTCTACCCCCGCCACACATACACGCTGGGGAACACAGAGTAGTCACTGTTTGCTCTGCTCCCGTCTCAGGCCAGGCTTGAAGCTGCCAGGGGTCCTGGATTCATTGTTCATCCCTACCCTTATCTCAATTTTGAGAACTTTATTTTGGATGGAAAAACCGCCCAGAATCTACTGGCGGGTTTGTGGGAAACTGGGTAGGAGGTCGCTAGCCCACTTCTCATGAGTGAGTGGATCTAGGAAGGAAGGGGATGCTGTCTGTTTCAGTCTCAAACTGGATACCCAGCCGGCTTTGGCTCTGGGGCAGGATTGCTGCTGAAAGGGTAGTGTGACAGCTGGATACCCTTTTCACCCCAGCTTTTGCAGTCCCCTCTCTGCTTGGGACAGCAGCTGGAGAGAAAAATCTCTTGGGATGTAGGAAGAAAACCCAAACAGCACATGGAAATAGTTTCAGAGGAAGGTGGGAGTTGGCAGGCAGCAGGTGGAGCCCCTTAACCCCAGGACCTTGCCTGTGCAGTGGTAGCACCTGAATTGGGCCTGTCGTTAGCCACAGAGCCTGGTCCCCTTGCTGCTTGGTTGTCTTCTTTCTGCCTTCCTCCTTCACCTCCTACTTCTCGGGTGGTGACTAAGCAGCCAGTGAGAGTGAGGAAAAGTGAGCACCCTGCTCAGAGTGCCAGCCCTGTGGGCTGGAGCCATGGCTCCTTTCCAGATTGGTGGAGGAGCCTGGTTCCAGGCCATGGCTGCCTTGACCTGGCACCTTCTCAGTGAGGCTCCCATCTTTGTGGGTCTGTATGACAGTCAACTAGGAGTCTCTGCCAGAAGTTGTTGTTGCCACTTGTATTGTTTATTTCTTTTTCAGAATAGTCCAAGAGTGTCCAGGGCCACATTAGGTGGTGAGATATTGCTCTGTAGGGTTAGTTGTATCCTGGGTTGCTGAGCTCTGGTTGTAACCAAGGAGTAAATTGTTGGGCCTTGGTAGTGATCACTGCTTCCTTCTCATTAGGCTGTCAGTTCCTTGTTGGAGAATTTGGCCACAAAGAGTTGCCAAGATAGCTGGGCCAGGAAGAAAGCGCCGTAGCCCTGACCCAGACGCCGTTGCCGACCCCGGGGCACTCTGGCTGTCGACCAAGCGGCTCAAGATGTCTGGTGGGGCCAGCACCACGGGCCCAAGGAGAGGTCCCCCAGGACTGGAGGAGGCCACCAGTAAGAAGAAGCAGAAGGATCGAGCAAACCAGGAGAGCAAGGATGGAGATCCTAGGAGAGGTGAAAGTGGCATTCCCAGAATGTTTGTGGTCTCCTCCTCCTGCCTTTTGAGCATACAGATTGGGGGTTGGGAGATGACAGTTCTTTCTGTGTTGGTCTGATACCAAGAGAAGAACCCACAGCAGGCTGGGTAGAGCCTCAGCTTTGAGGTCTGCATACTTGGCTGAGATACTGAAGATGGTGCTTGGTGGAGTGGTGGGGTCTTGGAGGCTGCCTCCCCATCATCATTTCCCTGTTCTTTTCTTTGTTGTCAGGGTCAGTGTCCTCTCGGGAGGAGCAGGCCAAAGAGGGTGAGTAATGAATTGGCCTTTTGGATGCTAGAGTGCTATGGGTGAGGAGGGCGCACTGGGGCTATAGCCTTCATCTGGAGCAGTCCTGTTAGGGCTGGGTCTGTGGCACCTGCTTGTCCCCATTGGGAGTTTATGGAGACCCTCACAGTCTTGTTGGTGGTACTCCTACAGAGTTGTTGCTTGATTGGAGGCAGAGTGCAGATGAGGTGATTGTCAAGCTGCGTGTGGGAGCGGGTCCCCTGCGGCTGGAGGAGGTGGATGCTGCTTTCACAGACACAGACTGCGTGGTGCGGCTTCCAGGTGTGCCCATCTGCCCTGAGCCCAGCAGTGTATTTGAATCCTCTGATATTCCCCACCACAGTTCACTGCCCTTATTCTATTTCCAGGTGGTCGGCAGTGGGGTGGTGTTTTCTATGCTGAGATAGAAAGTTCTTGCACCAAAGTACAAGCCCGCAAGGGTGGCCTCCTGCAGCTGGCACTGCCCAAGAAGGTGCCTCTGCTCACATGGCCCTCTCTTCTGGTAAGTTCCACAGCAGAGTAGGGTAGGGATACCCAGTGTGGTTGACAGGGCCTGACTGCTGTATCTTTGGTAGAAGAAACCTCTAGGGACCCAGGAGGCGTTGCCAGGGCTGCGGTGTCAGGAGAATGGGCAGGAGCCATCTCCCATTGCCCTGGAGCCAGGCCCTGAGCCCCGGCGGGGTAAACAGGAGGCCCGGAACCAGAAGAGGGCCCAGGGCCGTGGTGAGGTAGGCGCAGGGGCTGGCCCCGGGGCCCAGGCAGGGCCCAGCGCCAAGAGGGCTGTGCATCTCCGCAGAGGGCCAGATGGGGAAGGGTCCAGAGATGGGCCTGTACCCCGGGGCGATGCCCCCCCCTTCTTGGCTGAGACAGCCACCCAGGTGAGAGTGGGGTACCTGTGGGAGATGGGAGGGTAGGGAGATGGACTGCAGTGGGGGGTCACCTGCCAGACCTAGGGCTGATCCTGCCCACAATCTTGCCACAAATAGGCTGAGGCTGAGGAACAGCTCCGGGTACCACCGCTGAACCCCCAGACCTGCCTTTTGGGTTCAGAGGAGAATCTAGCACTCTTGGCAGGAGAGAAGACCGTGTCCCCCAGGAATGATCCAGTCTCCCCAGCCATGGCTCGGAGCAGAGATCCTGAGAAAGGTGACCGTTCCAAAGAGGAGATGGCAGAGGCAGCAGATGCTCTAACTTTGGTGGATGGTAAAGGTGGGGCTGGGGGTGGTAAGCAGAGCCCTAGGTTGGGTTGCAAGGTTGGTGGATGGATAGGGAACAGAACAGCCACAGGCTGGAACCTGTCCTGGGCGGTGCTGAGCTGTGGTTTCAATGTAGAGCCGGAGTCCATGGTGAACCTGGCATTTGTCAAGAATGATTCATATGAGAAGGGCCCGGATTCAGTGGTGGTGCATGTGTACGTGAAAGAAATCTGCAGGGACACTTCTCGAGTGCTTTTCCGCGAGCAAGATTTCACGCTTATCTTCCAGACCAGGTGGGTGGGGTGGCAGGAGACGGGGCAGACAGTGCACTTCAGGCAGGACATTGTATCTCATGCTTTTCTTCCCACCCTTCCTCCTGCCCTGCCCCTGCTCTGCTTCTGCAGGGATGGAAACTTCCTGAGACTACACCCAGGCTGTGGGCCCCATACCATCTTCCGTTGGCAGGTGAAGCTCAGGTGGGTGGTTCCTGGCCCCAGCACTATGCCTGTCCCACCCTGGGCTCCATCTCCCTGGCCCATTTAGCCCAATATCCACTCCACCTAAGTCCCTGAGCTCAGCCTTTCCCCACAGGAACCTGATTGAGCCTGAGCAGTGCACCTTTTGCTTCACGGCCTCTCGAATTGACATCTGCCTCCGAAAGCGGCAAAGTCAGCGCTGGGGGGGCCTGGAGGCCCCAGCTGCACGAGGTCTGCACACGAGCTCCCTTCATCGTCCAGCCCACATAACTCGGACCCTCATCCCCACCACATGCTGCTAACCACCAGCCCCCTCATTCCCCCTTTTTAAGGTGCAGTGGGTGGTGCAAAGGTTGCCGTGCCGACAGGTCCAACCCCTCTGGATTCAACCCCACCGGGAGGTGCCCCCCACCCTCTTACAGGCCAGGAGGAAGCTCGGGCTGTGGAGAAGGAAAAACCCAAGGCTCGATCTGAGGACACGGGGCTGGATGGTGTGGTGGCCCGCACCCCCGTGGAGCATGTAGCCCCAAAGCCAGAGCCACACCTAGCCTCGGTGAGAATCCTGGGTGGGGAGGGCCAAGGTTAGAGGCTGGAGAACCTCAGGGCTGCTCACTCATGCCCCTCCTTGCTTCCACAGCCCAAGCCCACATGTATGGTGCCTCCAATGCCCCACAGCCCTGTGAGCGGAGATAGTGTGGAGGAAGAGGAGGAGGAAGAGAAGAAGGTGTGTTTGCCTGGCTTCACTGGCCTTGTCAACCTAGGCAACACCTGCTTCATGAACAGTGTCATTCAGTCTCTGTCCAATACTCGGGAGCTCCGGGACTTCTTCCACGGTGAGAGCAGGGCCTGGAGCCCAGGGCTGTGGCAGAGGGGAATCTTTTCCCTGCTCACACCTGTACTTGGCTGCTGTCCCTAGACCGCTCCTTTGAGGCCGAGATCAACTACAACAACCCACTGGGGACTGGTGGGCGTCTGGCCATTGGCTTTGCTGTGTTGCTCCGGGCACTGTGGAAGGGCACCCACCATGCCTTCCAGCCTTCCAAGTTGAAGGTGATCTGTGGCCATTCCTACCCCTGGCTAGAGTGGGTGGGGAAGGCTGACCAGCTGGGTACGGGGTGGGTGCTGGGTCTCCGTGCTCACACTTGGCCCCTGCATCCAGGCCATTGTGGCGAGCAAGGCCAGCCAGTTCACAGGCTATGCGCAGCATGATGCCCAGGAGTTCATGGCTTTCTTGCTGGATGGGCTGCATGAAGACTTGAATCGCATTCAGAACAAGCCCTACACAGAAACTGTGGATTCAGATGGGCGGCCCGATGAGGTCAGTCAGGGTTGGGGGCAGAGGTGGGCATATCTCATGCACATCCCAGTCCCCAGGGCTCCTTGATCCTCACCACTCTGCTCCTCAGGTGGTGGCTGAAGAAGCATGGCAGCGGCATAAGATGAGGAATGACTCTTTCATCGTAGACCTGTTTCAGGGCCAGTATAAGTCGAAGCTGGTGTGCCCTGTGTGTGCCAAGGTGTGAAGGGCTCCCCTGGAAAGAGGCTCCTAGCTTGGTCTAGCTAGCTTGGTCAAACTGGGGTTGGAGGCATGTGCATCTTTAGATGCTGTTTGGGCAAAGAAGCTGACGGAGGCCTTCGGCTGCTTTGTGGGCTGCAGAAATCAGGCTGGGTAGGTTTCCTGACTGAGGTTAAAGGGGTGTTTGGGCGCCAAGACAGCGATAAGGTGGGGCAGGGGTATGGGTAGTATTGGGAAGATGTGGGGTACAAGTGAGGGGTAAATTGATAAGTGGTGAGGCTGAACAGGGCCTCGATTGCCAGAAAGACCCTTCTAGTCTCTCTGGTGTTCTCAAACCTGAGAGTTTGCTGGTTGGCTCTGAGGCCCTGAGAGCCATCCGAGTGCCTGGATTGGGCTCCCTGGGTGTGAGCATCCTGTTCCCGACTCCCTGTGCAGCCACCTAGTGCCACTTGTGCGTCCGCAGGTCTCCATCACTTTTGACCCATTCCTCTACCTGCCAGTACCTTTGCCACAGAAGCAGAAGGTTCTCCCCGTCTTCTATTTTGCCCGGGAGCCGCACAGCAAACCCATCAAGGTGAGAAGTAAGCTCCTATTTCTGGGCGATCCCGAAGACCCCGGTCCACCTCCCCCAGGGTCTCTACTCTTGTCACCACAGTTTCTGGTGAGCATCAGCAAGGAGAACTCCAGTGCAAGTGAAGTGTTGGAATCCCTCTCTCAGAGCGTCCACGTGAAGCCTGAGAACCTGCGTCTAGCTGAGGTATATCTGTCTTTCCTCAAGCTCTTACACACATGGATCTGTGTATGTACTTAGGGTGTGCAGTCACATGTGGATGGTTGTTGGCATCCGTGTACATACACACAAATGTGTGTGTGGCTGCACAGTGGTGTGCTAGGGGGTGAGGCTAGGGGGTGAGGCTTTTGGGCTATGTAACAGAAGTCTGTAAGTTCCCAAGGTTCCCATCATCAGTGTTTACTCCTCCTTTGGGTGAGGGCCCTCAACTGCTTTTCTGTCTTCCAATAAGAAGCTGGAGCTGGAGGGCTACCTTTCCCCCCAGCTGTTGTTCTCCCTCCATCCTGCTACTCCCTCGTATTATCCAAGATTTGTGTGCTAGTCTTCCCCTAAGTTTCCTAGCTTCCAGCCTGGAAGTGCTCTTTTCTTTGGGGATAGAAGTGGGAAGGAGCCTCCTCAAATGTGACCCCTCCACTGTAACAGCCATGTTGCAGTCTCAGCAGGACCCCACTAATTGATAGCAGGGTAGAGGCCTTCAGTGTGGTGAAGTGCTGGTTTCACCAGAGTACTGGGTGGGTTGATACTTTCCCTAGTCCTGACTTTCAGGCTCTCTGAAGCACCCGACTGCTTATTTTCTTAGGCACTGAGGCTGGTATCAGCAGAGGCATATGCTGCTTTGGGGCCACAATCCCCACTCTGCTGCCTAGACCCAGGTTCAGGTCCAAGCTTTCTTGTGCCCTGGGGCAGGGCTATAGAAAGGGCTTGTCCTCATATAGGATCTGTGTGTCCTCTGTCCCCAGGTGATTAAGAATCGTTTCCACCGTGTATTCCTGCCCTCCCACTCATTGGACACTGTGTCCCCATCTGACACACTCCTCTGCTTTGAGCTGCTATCCCCAGAGTTGGCTAAGGAGCGGGTGGTGGTGCTAGAGGTGCAGCAGGTGAGTGAGGACCAACCTGATGGCACAAGGCCCTGTGGGAGGGGGCATTCTCAACCAGGCTGGCCTTGCTGAGCCATACAACCCACCCTAGCGCCCCCAGGTGCCCAGCATCCCCATCTCCAAGTGTGCAGCCTGCCAGCGGAAGCAGCAGTCAGAGGATGAGAAGCTGAAGCGCTGTACCCGGTGCTACCGCGTGGGCTACTGCAACCAGTGAGGACCCCCACGGTCCCCCCGCTTTCCCTCCTCTTCACATTTCATTTGCCACCCTATCTCCTCTCCTCTCATAGAGGCACATGTTTTAAGCCCTCCACCGATCACTCTACTCTGCCAGACTCTGGGGGAGGCGGGGCTGGCATACCCAGTTCCCAAGGCCAGAGGCTAGCCCCCGGTGGAGAGTTAAAAGAGGTGGGGCTAAGGCCCTATTCTTACTTCCTCCTTCTCTCCAGGCTCTGCCAGAAAACCCACTGGCCTGACCACAAGGGTCTCTGCCGCCCTGAGAACATTGGCTACCCATTTCTGGTCAGTGTACCTGCCTCACGTCTCACTTATGCTCGTCTTGCTCAGCTGCTAGAGGGCTATGCCCGGTAAGTGTCTAGTGGTTGGATGAGGGTGTGGTAGTTGGGGGAATAGAGACGCCAGGTAGGCTTGTCAGGATTCTTACTTGCCTTGCTGCCTGTTGCCAGGTATTCTGTGAGTGTATTCCAACCACCCTTCCAGCCTGGCCGCATGGCCTTGGAATCCCAGGGCACTGGCTGTACTACGTTGCTCTCTACTAGCTCCCTGGAGGCTGGGGACAGTGAGAGGGACCCGATTCAGCCGCCTGAGCTCCAGTTGGTGACCCCCGTGGCTGAGGGGGACACAGGGGTCCCTAGGACATGGGCGGCTCCTGATCGGGGCTCTGTGCCCAGCACCAGTGGAGTTTCTTCTGAGGTGCTGGCCAGTGGGCCTGTTGAAGTTGGCTCCTTGCCTGCTGGTGAGAGGATGTCTCGGCCCGAAGGTAAGAGTCTGGTGAAAGGCTCCGCAGCTGGGTAGGGGAGTTTAGTGGGAGCTTGTTTAGGTCCTGGTAGGTAGGGGAGCTCTGATTATATGTTTTTTCACAGCTGCTGTGCCTGGATATCAGCACCCAAGTGAAGCCATAAATGCCCACACCCCTCAGTTCTTCATCTATAAAATTGACACATCTAACCGAGAGCAGCGGCTGGAGGACAAAGGTGTCTGAGGCTATGGGTGGAAGCCATGGGTAGGCTGGGCTGGCCGTTCTCTACAGCTACATGACGCCTCTCCCTGCCCATCTCTAGGAGACACCCCCCTGGAGCTGGGTGAGGACTGCAGCCTGGCTCTAGTGTGGCGGAACAATGAGCGCCTGCAGGAATTTGTGTTGGTAGCCTCCAAAGAGCTGGAGTGTGCTGAGGATCCAGGCTCTGCTGGTGAGGCTGCCCGTGCTGGGCACTTTACTCTGGACCAGTGCCTGAACCTCTTCACTCGGCCTGAGGTGCTGGCGCCTGAGGAGGCTTGGTGAGGATGGGGTGGCAGGCAGGTGGTTGGGCAGGGTGGGGTGGAGATCTGCTGGTCTTAACCTCACCTGTGTCTGCTGTCAGGTACTGCCCACAGTGTAAACAACACAGAGAGGCCTCCAAGCAGCTGCTGCTGTGGCGCTTGCCCAACGTACTCATTGTGCAGCTCAAACGCTTCTCCTTTCGGAGTTTCATTTGGCGTGACAAGATCAACGACCTGGTGGAGTTCCCTGTTCGGTAAGTGATGAACCCTGGTGATGGTAGTCAGGTTATAGGGGGTACCATCCTGGGCACCTGTTGACTCTTTGACCTTTCTCTGGCTGGGACCACAGGAACCTGGACCTGAGCAAGTTTTGCATTGGTCAGAAAGAGGAACAGCTGCCTAGCTACGACCTATACGCTGTCATCAACCACTACGGAGGCATGATTGGCGGCCACTACACTGCCTGTGCCCGCCTGCCCAATGACCGCAGCAGCCAGCGCAGCGACGTGGGTGAGGGCACATGCAGCCAGCAGGATAGGTGGTAGGCGTGGGGGTGCAGGTTATGTTCACACTCTTCCCACTTCACTGTAGGGTGGCGCTTATTTGATGACAGCACGGTGACAACAGTAGACGAGAGCCAGGTCGTGACGCGTTATGCCTATGTACTCTTCTACCGCCGGCGGAACTCTCCTGTGGAGAGGCCCCCCAGGGCAGGTCACTCTGAGCACCACCCAGACCTAGGCCCTGCAGCCGAGGCTGCTGCCAGCCAGGTGAGACGCTGGGGAGGCTTCATAGGCTAGTGAGCCCGATTCATAGACGGGAGGGGGTTCGGCACAGCCTCCTCTCTTCCAGCCATAGGACCCTGGAGCTTTGGGATTTGTGATCTTCTTACATCAGAGTCCTAGTTAGAGGAATCCCCATGCTGTAGTGACACTTGTAAAAGGTGCATGCACAGCAGCACGTTGCTGTTGGCATGCATACAGGCACCCTCTTGGCACAGGCCTACGTAGCTGCTCTGAACCTCACTGGGTAGGATGCTATAAACAGACTGTACCTGACACTCACCCAGCTTTCCTCTGCACCCTCCTCACATGCCAGCCAGCCCACAGACTCTCATTTGTCATCACTCCCTTGTTCTGATGTGCACTCAGGACAGGGCCTGTTCAGACTGGCCATGGGCTAGGGTGGCCGCCACCCTCTGAGGTGAGCGTCAGTTCCTGCTGAACCCTAGGGGTCTTCCGTCCCTTATTGACATGGGATGCCAAAGGTCTGGTTGGTGGGCACTGCTGCATCTCTCTTTGGACTTGTTTCCTCCTTGCTGCCCTCTTCTCCCTTGAGCCCTCTCTGCTCAGATGCAGAGGAATCCCAGTAGAGGACAGTGGTCACAGTCTATTGGGACATGGGTGGGAGGGAGCCAGATTACTCAGGTTGACAGCTCTATCCTCCATGAGCTCCTCTGTGGGAACCCTGGGCTGAAAAACTGACTAGCTAACCATCCCCCTCCGATCTCCACGAGAAGCTGCATGTCAATTGGGAAGCTTTTTGAGGGAGCCAAAATGCTGTCAAGATTCGCCTGCCCTGGTGCTCTGTCTAGACAACTCTGCAAATGGCCCATTTGGCTCCCACCTGCCCACCTCCCTGCTGCTTGACTTGGGATGTGTAAGGAGTTAGTGCCAGTAGTCTTGGGTGGGAGCATCATGGCCAGGGGACACTGGGTCCCTCCCTACCCTCCTGCCCCAGGTGCTGATGGCCGTTTCCACACACTGTAGGCTTCCCGGATTTGGCAGGAGCTGGAGGCCGAGGAGGAACCGGTACCTGAGGGGCCTGTGCCCCTGGGTCCCTGGGGGCCCCAAGACTGGGTGGGCCCCCCACCACGTGGCCCTACCACACCAGATGAGGGCTGTCTCCGGTACTTTGTTCTGGGTACCGTGGCAGCTTTGGTGGCCCTCGTGCTCAACATGTTCTATCCTCTGGTATCCCAGAGTCACTGGAGATGAGCTCGACTGCAGGCAGCAGCTGTGAGCTGGCCCACCTGCCTGCCCATCAGGCAATGCCTGCCTCTGTGGTGGGGACCAATTCTGGGCTTGGGCCTCAGTGTGTGCGTCTGGTGGGTGAGGGTGGGGATTGTGGCTCCTGCCGGGACAGAGCATCTAGGGTGGGTATCCGTCCAGCTGTTTGTCCATTCATCCTGCTGCTCTGACCTGTGGCATGGGGCTTAGTCCTGCCCAAGCAGCTTCCTGTATTTCAAGTGTTAATAAAGCGAGACTGTTCAGGCCCGATCTCGTCTCTCTGTCTCAACGCCGCTGCTGTCTGCGCCTGCCTTGGGGCCCTCCCTTGGGTGCCGGGGCTCTGAGCCAGCACCCCCGGGATGCCAGGCAGCATACTGGGCAGCCCCCAACCCCTGTCCTCATATTCTGTTGCAGGGACTAGGCCCTGGCCAGGCCCCCGAGGTGGCCCCCACGCGGACAGCCCCTGAACGCTTCGCCCCCCCTGTGGACCGCCCAGCCCCCACCTACAGCAACATGGAGGAGGTCGATTAGCAGGTCCCTGGCTGGTGGGGGAGGTGGGGACTGGGTTTGGGGAATCTCCCACAGAGGGCCAGCTCTTTGCCGCTTCTCCTTCGCTAACCCAGAGGACACTGGCTTCATCAGTGGGGGTTGGGGGTGTGATTGAGGTGGGAACCTCACAGGTTGGGCCCTTTTGTCAGTTTGACCCTCCCAACCAGTGGACCTTGGCTTCTCCAGCCACTCCCAGTGCCGCGTGATTTCTCAGTTGTACCTTCAATTCTTTCTGACTCGCACCATAAACGTTATATAATTTTATTCTAAAAATTGTAATTTTTTTTTTTTTGCATTTTGGAAGTGATTGCTGCTGTTTAAATATATTTTAAAAATAAATGATAAATAAGCAGACTTAGTGACTATGATGCACCAGGTGCTGTGGCCACCTCTCCCCATCGAGAGGGGAGGTGTGTGTGTGTGTGTGTGTGTGTGTGTGTGTGTGTGTGTGTGTGTACACATGTATGTATATAGGTAGGTGTATTAAAGACCCTGAAAGTGCTCTGGTCTGAGTAGAGATGGTGGGGTCCCACTGTAGCCCCTGTGGGTCATGAAGCCCCGAGTGCCATCAGCTTTCTGGGGCCTACCTGCTGCCCTTTGATCCCACCAGTTCTGGGTCTCATATGGAGGCAGCTATAGTGGACATCACTGTCAATATCTTCTACCTAAAGGATGGGTGAATACCCCATGAGGCTCCAGAAGTTGAGGTAAAAGGTGCAGGCACTGGAGTAGCCTGGAGCTGACTGCCAGACACGTCAGGGAGGACTTGTTAGGGAACAGGAAGCACTGGGAGTATTGCCTTCCTCCTTTACTAGTATCAGGTTTTTCTTTGCTGTAGCCTGAGCACCATCTGGATCTCTTAGTGGAGAACAGAGCAGGGGAAAAATGCTGTGGTGAGAGAGACCCTGCTCCACAAGGAGGATAGGCAGAGAGAC